GTGCGAATAACTTCGCGCTCTCGCGCCGCCTCCCAGGGGAGAAGAGGAGGATGAGGAGGAACGGAGCCGACTCGCGAAGCGCGAAGCGCGAATAACTTCGCGCCCTCGAGGGCGGCCCAGGGGTATCCTCCCCAGGATGCACAAGCACATCCAACAAGCACGAAGAACATTCTGAGACCCTCCCCGAACCGACCCCGCTCTTATGCCTCGGTCCGGCTGCAGCGCTCCCGCTGCAGCGCTGGCCTCATTGTAGGATCGGCGCTTTGCTCCCATCGATCAGGATGGCGCTCTCGCCCCAACGCGGACCACGGTTCTGGATCCGAGACCGGTCTCCTCGTTGTCGCCCCCCTCCTTTGCCCTCCTCCGCCTCCCCCTGGCCCTCCTCCTACAGTGTGCACAGCTCCCGTTTTCCCATTGCGCGTTGCACGACAGGGGTTCTTTTGGTTGTTCCAGGTCCACTATAATACCCGCTGGCGGACATAGAGAAACTGTCGGTGCAATAGGAAGGGGCGAAAGGGAGGGGCAAGATGTCAGATGTGGCGCGAGCGCATCTAGCTTGACCCCCACTCCACCCTCTCCTTCTTCACCCCTCCCCCTCCTCCTCGGGGGCGACGGTGGGGGCGAATACAGCCCAGGGGAAAGCAATACATGTATCCGGTGGCGCCGACGGTCCACGCCTTCGGCGAGACCCCCCGGTGAATACGTGCAACGCCCGCCCCTGGACTACAGCCAGACCGATGATAGAAGAACATCCTTCAAGAACATGAGACTCTCAGTCGGCCCAAACTGAAGAACAGCACTCGAGGGGGCCTTCCCCTCGGATGCACAAGATCACCCGACAAGCACGAGCAACATTAGGGTACCCTCCCCGAGCCGACCTCGATCTTACTCCTCGGTCCGACTGTACGTGCAATGCCCGCCCCTTGAGCAGGGACCGACCGTCCTGGCATTCCTATAGTCCTACCACGAAATGTTCTTAGAACCAATAAATGTTCTAAGAACCAACACAATGTTCTTAGAACATCAACCCGGTGTGTTCAAACAAAACAGTCCCAGCCAGAAATGTTCTAAGAACATGTCGTGGAAGCCACAAAAGATTCTTAGAACATTGTTTGGTAGGGCTATAGGCACGCAGGGACGCTTCGCCACTGCTTGAGCCCCTGGGCTATTCGCCTCCGACCGCCCCCCCACCTCCTGGACCCGCCTGCCGGCACGCGGGCCGCGCCCACGCCTCGCGCGGCCTCCATGCTGGCCCGGCGCAGCGGCGGCGCAGCCCCCGCAGGCCCGAGGAGCCCACGCCATGGAAGGCTCCCCCCTCCTCCCGCCGTGCTCAAGAGGCGCAGGGGAGGCCTCCTCCTCCTCCTCCTTCTTCCTCCTCCTCCTCCTCCTCCTCTCCCTCCCCCTCCCCCTCCCCCTCCCCCTCCCCCTCCCCCTCCCCCCTCCCCCTCCCCCCTCCCCCTCCCCCTCCCCCTCCCCCTTCCCCCTCCCCCTCCCCCTCCCCCTCCCCCTCCCACCCCCTCCCCCTCCCCCTCCCCCTCCCCCCCCCCCCCCTCCTCCCCCTCCCCCTCCTCCCCTCCTCCTCCTCCTCCGCCGCCGCCGCCGCGCCGCCGCCGCCGCCTCCTCCTCCTCCTCCTCCCTCCTCCTCCTCCTCGGCCTCCTCCGCCTCCGCCTCCGCCTCCGCTCCGCCCCCGCCTCCGCCTCCGCCTCCGCCTCCGCCTCCGCCTCCGCCTCCGCCTCCGCCTCCTCCTCCTCCTCCTCCTCCTCCTCCTCCTCCATTCCATTTCATGTCCTTCTCGACAACTCCTCCCTGTCGCACGCCGAGGTCGGTCGAGAGGGCGGGCTGGGGGGATTCGTCGCCCGAGGCTTCCTCACCACGTGTGGCCGCGATGCTTGAGACACGCAAGCGGCTTCGCAGATGGAGGGCGGGTCGCCTCTCCAAAAGGCGGCTCTCGCTGGAGCGCCGCGCACGTTCGAGCAAACCGCAAACCACTTCACGGTTTGAGGGCGGGTCGTTCTCAAGATGTGGAACTCGCCGGAGCGCCGCGCGCATTCGTGTGAAGCATGTCAAGTGCTTTACGGATTGAGGCTGGGCCGTTTTCCAAACGTGGCTCTCGCCGGAGCGCCGCGCAAATCCGTACAAGAAAACATTCGCAAGAGTTTCACGGATTGAGGCTGAAGGGCGGGTCGTTTTCAACAAATGTCTCTCGCGTGAGTGCCGCGCGCACTCGTTCTTCGAAGTGGACGAGTCGTTGTCAAAATGTGGCTCTCGCCTGAGCGCCGCGAGCATTCGTTCAAGGATGTACCAGAGCTTCACGGATTGACGGGTCGTTGTCAAAATGTCGTTATCGCCTGACCGCCGTGCACATTCGTTTTAAAGATTTGCAAGAGTTCCAGGGACTGACTGCGGTTCCCTTTCAGAAAGTGACTCTACTTTAGCGCCGCGTGCATTCGGTTTTGAACATTTCAAAGAGTGTCACTGGTTCTCCTGCCAGAAACGGTGTTTGGAACGATTCCATAATGGCAGCGCGCAGCGATGACGTTGATTCACGGCGGTGTTGAAATCCCGGGAATGGTATTCTGGCACGATAAAGGATCGCCATGACGTAACGGTCGGGTTAACTCATGGCGTTGAAGACCTGATACTGGTGTTATGGCACGCTTCAAGATGTTCACACGTTTGTCCCCAAACGGGGCACTTCCCTTAGTGGAAGTGACCCCCTGTAGGTGCCAGTGTAGACGAATATTGGAGGGAGTGTGTAATTTCAACATCGGAGATGAGGCTTGAGCTTGCACTAGTAGGCCCCCTCCTCCTCCTCCTCCTCCTCCTCCTCCTCCTCCTCCCTCCTCCTCCTCCTCCTCCTCCTCCTCCTCCTCCCCTCCCTCCTCCCCCTCCCCCTCCTCCTCCTCCTCCTCCTCCTCCTCCTCCTCCTCCTCCTCGTCCTCCTCCTCCTCCTAAGGAGTACATTTTCCTCCTCTTCCTCCTCGACTCAGCCGAGGCGCAACATGTCAGTCACACCTGCCACTTGCGCCACCGCATGCACGGCGTGGGTGGCGCTTCAAACCACTTCCGCCACAAACCTCCTCCTCCTCCTCCTCCTCCTCCTCCTCCTCCTCCTCCTCTTGAGGAGTACCTCATCCTCCTCCTCCTCCTCCTCCTCCTCGTCCTCGCGCTCGTCTTCCTCGCTCCTGGGCCCTCGGAGAGGCAGCCCTCGCGGTCACGGCCGGGCGCAGCTCGAGAAGCCGGGCGGGATGGAGCCCCAGGGATGGTCGAGTCCGAGAGGGGGGCGGCCAAGAGGCGGCTTCGCACATCATGGCCTGCGGCACGTGCGCGGCCCAGGGGGGGGTGCGAGGGAACGCATTGGAATAAGAAGAGGGGCCCATTAAATCATCCAGAAGGGGGGGGGGCCAACGGAACGCACTGTAACAAGAAGAGGGGCTCATTCAATCATCCGGGGGAGGCCCAGGGAACGAACGCATCCGAGCAAGAAAGGGGGGCCTCCCATGCCATCTCGTCGGCTCTTGCGAGTCGAAGATAATCGACGTTAGTCCACACTAAGCGACGCCAGCTCGCTGACCGGCGCTAAACGGATCGGCGCTATCTCAGCGACTCCCAGACGCTGACCGACGCTAGCCTTGAGTCGGGCGTGTCCCCCTACAGGTAAATTTTGGGCGAACACTGAAGAATACTAAAAAAAAAAACCCTGGATGGGCAAAAATAATCAAAAATAATTCCCTGACTATTTTTTTTTACTATTTTTGAATATTCCCCCTGTAGAGGGGCAAGCCAGACTTACCGCTGGTCGACGCTGAAGACGGAATCCAGAGGGCACACCACTCTCCTATGATTTGCTGCCAAATCATCGGGATCGGGATGCGCCCCAGGCCGGCAAGGAAAGAGACCCGAGCGGCCGAGAGGCCGCGGAGGAGGCACAGAGGGAGGGCGGGATGCAGAGCATCAAGCGCTCGAGGGGAGCTGCGGGGACCCCCTGCCCCTCCTCCCGGGCGCACGCTGACATTCGGCGGCGAGCTAGGGGGGGAGGAAGTCAGAAGGAGAATGCCTTCAGAAGGCTGCGGGGCTTCTGAGAAGCCCTCGCGCGCCCTCAGAGGGGTACTTTGTGTCCTCGGGGAAGGCTTAGAAGACTTCTCAGAACGCCAGGGGCCTTCCGAACCTTCTGAGAAGGCCGACTCCTTCTCACTTCCCCCCCTCGCTCGCCGCCAAATCGGGCAACATGCCACCCGAAACGTGGCGTCAATACCCCCCGATTCGGCGACACAACGCGCGCCGATTCTGTGCGGAAGCGGGGCCCGCCGCCAATCCACGATGCCTTAATCCATGTTTCAATTCCCTTGAGTATCCCTCTTCCGTTACCTCCGCTTCCCCCCATCCCGCCTCGCCCCTCCCAGACATCCACCGCCCCGATCTGTCGGGACGAGGCCCCCGACCTCTCGACCACGCCCCTGGGCCTGGTGCTCCACTCCGAGCCGCTGTTTGAGGGCACCGGGGCCCGGTGAAAGCCCCGAGAGGCCGAAGGCTACGGAAAGCCTCCGCTCCGACACCTGGGCTCGAGGCGCCAGGACGTCTGGGCTCTCGCCCTCGAGGGGAGCGTGCAGGGCAGGGCTGAACCTAAACGGTGTTCTTCGTTTTCGTTTTCTTTTCGTTTTCCCTCGCTTCTTGTCTCGATTCCGCCTTTCCTGCAAGACGAAGTCGAAACGAAAACGGCCCAGGAAATCGCCCAGAGCACCGTTTGGGTCCAGCCCTGGGGCCAGGTCGGGAGGCCCGTTCGTGGCCGAGGCTCGCCGTGGCCAGGAGCGGTCCTTCGTTCCTCATTCAGCGCTTGATGTCTAGGGCTCCCAGGTGGGGTCCGAGTCGATGGGGTCGAAGGGTCGCGCCGCATCGCCAATGCATCGCCGATGTATCGGCGATGCATCGGCGATGCGTCGCCGACGTCGGCGACGCACCTGTCCCGCGCGCTGTCCCCCCCCCTCGCTGGCGCGCTCGCCTCGTCCAGGATCTCCCCCGTGAACTTCACAGGGCCCTTGCAGAGCGCCTGCGGGGCACGGCTCCCGCTCCTTCCCTCCTTGCTGCTCCTCCCCCTCCTCTCCCCCCCCCCCGCTCTCCGCTCCTCGCTCCTCGCTCCTGCTCCTCCTCGCTCCTCCTCGCTCCTCCTCGCTCCTCGCTCCTCCTCCTCCTCCTCCTCCTCCTCCTCCTCCTCCTCCTCCTCCTCCTCCTCCTCACCACCACCACCAACACCACCACCACCACCACCACCACCATCATCGTCATCGCCATCGCCATCGTCATCATCATCGTAATCAGCATCAGCATCAGCATCAGCATGAGCATCATCGTCATCATCATCATCATCACCATCATCAGCATCGTTATCGTCATCGTCATCATCATCAACAATATGATAATGATGATAATGATCATGATCATGATCATCATCATCATCATCATCATCATGTCCATCGCGATCATCGCCATGACCACCAACATCACCATCACCATCACCATCATCATCATCATCATCATCACCATCGTCATAATCACCCGTCATCATCACCATCACCACACCACCACCACCATCATCATCATCATCATCATCATCATCATCATCATCATCATCATCCTCATCCTGATCCTGATCCTGATCCTCCCCCTCCTCATCGGCATCATCATCATCAACATCATTGACATCGTCACCGTCGTCGTCACCATCATCATCAACATCGTCGTCATCATCGTCGTCGTCCCCATCATTATCATCATCATCATCATCATCATCGTCATCGTCATCGTCATCATCATCATGCCATCATCATCATCATCATTATCATCATCATCAGTATCATCATCAGCAGCATTATCATCATCATCATCACAGCCATCATCATTAGCATCATCACCAACAATATCAACATCAACATCATCATCAACCTCAATATCACCAACATCATCATCAACATCACCACCAACGCCATCACCATCATGCATCCATCACCATCACCACCTCTCTTCCGTATGAACAACTCCGCACCGCCGCGCCTCAAGACGTCCCGGCAGGGCGGGCCAGGCACTTCGCCCGCGGTGGCTTCCTCACCATTTCCATCCCTGAAGCTTGCATGTCCCAACAGCTACAATAATGAAATGGTGTGACCCGCGCGCCGCGCACGTTCGGCCTAACCGCTTCCAACAATCACGCGGATGCTTAGTGGGCCCTGGAGACGACAAGGCCGTTTCTTTACCGGTTCCGTTTTGCTGTTTCTGCTGCTGGTTCCGATGCCGTTGTTTTACCGGTTCCGTCGCCGTGTTTTTACTGGTTGCGGCTCCTGCTCCCATCCTGGAGCCGTTTTAATTGTCGTTTCGGTTCGTCGTTTTTGTTGCCGCTTCCATTTTGAAGAGACACTTTTTCGGATGGACGGCGCTTCCTTTAAAACAGGGGTGCTCGCCTGAGACTTATCCAACTTGTGCAACTGCAAACTCAGGCCTGTGCCATCATGCTCTGAAATGGCCCCAAAGACCATCCCGGAACCCTCTTGGGCGCCCCTCAGGCCTTCTTGGAGCCCGGCCCAAGAGGCAAACATCAATGCGGCAAGCATGAAGCTGGAATCGGCGATACATCGCCGACCGGCCCGCAATGGCGGAACCGCACCTTCCTGGACAGGGTGCGGCTATCGGGCACTTATCGGCGATGAACGGGCGACTGGTGATGGGCCTGTTTTCCACCACCACCACCATAAGTTGGAGGGGGGAAGGGGGGTGAGGAGAAGGAGGAGGACGAGGAGGAGGAGGGGGGAGGAGGAGGAGGAGGAGGAGGAGAGGAGGGAGGAGAGGAGGAGGACCCCCTCCGCCTCCAACTTATGGTGGTGGTGGTGGAAAACACGCCCATCAACTGGGGGTCGATGCGTACCCCCTGATCCGAGGCACCCTTCCGTCGCAACCTGGTGTTCAGGCCCATAGCTCGGCTCTCTGGCGGCCGCTCGGGGCGATCTGGGCACCCCCGGAACGCCCACGGCGAGGCGCAGCTGCTGGAAGGCATGCCGAGGCTGGGAGACCGCCGCGAAACGACGACACCGCACGAAACCTCAAACCTCGAAGTTTCGTCTCCCCCTGAGCATTTTTCCCCCCCTATCGTTGCCACAAAAATTACCTCCTCCTCCTCCTCCTCCTCCTCCTCCTGCTCCTCCTCCTCCTCCTCCTCCTCCTCCTCCTCCTCCTCCTCCTCCTCCTCATCCTCCACCAGCAAAGGGCCCCGCGGTGCGCGCCCGCCGGCCTCGACCGCCGCGACGTGGCAGTGGTGCAGCGCCGCCAACAGGGGCGTGACTGCCTGTGGGGGGCGGAGGGTGCTCGAGGCGAAGAGCTCAGGGGCCTCTGTGGAGTGTACGAGGATAGTTGTATGGAATACAAAAAGACACGAAGTACAATTGGGGGTATCCGTGCTGTGAGGGAGCACGTTCTCTTTCCTTCTACAGGGGCCAAGGCGCGCCCGTCGCCTGCGCGCAGATCTGACTCAACGGCCCTTGTGAGCTGAGATGGCGGCGCACAAGGGAGTTCAGAGAGAGGTGAAGGAGAAGAAGAGGCTGACATGGGCCTGACTACCACAGCTCCTACCTGTCTTGCAGCCGAAACGCCACCTCGCCTCATCATACGCAAATTCACTCATAATATATACCGAAACCGTTCATGTAGTCCCCAAAGCGTCGGCGACGTACCGCCGGCACGGCTACACGACCATGGGGGTCTTGAGAACATTTCTAGGAGAGATACTTGAAGGGATTGTCCGACACGGAGTCCATGATGAGGTCTTCGAACTCGCTGCGTCCGTAGCCTGCCCCATCTGATCCATGAAACTCTGCGGGTCGCAGCGGTCGCACTGTTGGCCAGTGCGCTCCAGGTAACGACCTGCTGCAGTGAGCTCCTCGGTCCAGTCAGGAACCCATCTCTCGCGCTTGGGAACCAGCTTGACCTCGAGAACCGCCAGGTCGGAGTCCTCGATCTTCTCGTCTGAGTGCGCGTGGACAGCCGGAAACGCCGCGGGGGTGGCCTGCGCCGCAAGGTGCATCCTGACCGTGCGATTCCAGCGCCTATACCATCCAAATACCTTGTCCCAGATCCCCCGCATCGTCGCAGTGTGTATCCAGGGCGCAGCGACGTGCACGCTGCCTTCGGTCTGGCACCGCTTCTTGCGGCGACGACTGCGACCCACCTGCAGCTCGGAAGCGCAAGAGAACAGCTTCATCCCCGGGCGGACGTCGGACGACGCATGCACCATGTAGCGAGCGCAAGGAGGTGCGGCGAAGCGCCCCTCCGTAGAAGATGCCGAACACGTTTTCGCAGCTCGAAGGTCCTGGCTTCAAAACGACAGGCCCTTCTTGCTCCAGATAGATGCCAGTGCTGCTAAGTTGGGGCCGTGGTGGGCGGTCTCGATATTGGCCTCCTTCTCGCTGGGCTAGTTCCCATGTCACGCTGTGTCTACCAAGCGCGTCTCGGCGACGTATCCATGGCCCGCCACTGTCCGGCCGGATACGCAATTGGATCCTCGACATGAGGGCCATCGATGAGTCCAAAGAGATGCTCAAGAGTAAAGCGGGATCCCTTGGCCTCTCGGATCTCCCAAGATGAACCTCCAGGACCAACGCGGCCAAAACAGACGCAGTGAAGGACGGCGTCGAGTGGGTGGCCCCTTTCAAGTTGCAGATCATCTGTTTGAAAAACAGCCTTGTTCTTCCTGGACAGCTTGTAGGCCTTCCCCCAGTGGGCACTGACGTACTTTTCTGCAGGCCCCACAAATATGTCACCCTCTTCCGCTGAAAACTCTTCCTGTCCAGGAGTAGCGGTGTACTGATCGATATTTACCACAGCCTTTGTGGCCACTGCGATGGTTCCGCCCGTTGGTGGAGGGTTCTCTACGAATCCTTTGAGAATCTCCACGGCACCTGATAACTCGCCGAAATTATCCAGCTGGCAGGCCATCTCTTCTTTCCCGTCGCCCCCACCGTGGATCCTGACCCGGCCCATGGTGTCCTCGAGAGCCTTCTCGCATTCTCCCACCAGCTCCCCCCTGCTGTTGACGGCAAATTTCTTGTCCCCCTGAGGAAGGTGCCACAGATTTCTGCCGATCATCGGAAGTTCGCGGTGGTTCGCGCTGGGGGCGATGGCCAGCGCTACGGGGGACCAACCAGGCAGGTCGCTGCGTGGCGTCCAAATGAGATCTGACACCGGGCGAAAGGCGGAAGGACCCTGGATCTCGGCGCCCGTGCACACCTGGCAATACGCGTATAGAGGCTCGTACTCACCGCTCTCGTCTGCTGCCTTCAGGTAGTTCGGCGCGATCTCGCACTCATGCGCATTGCGTTCAATCAGGCCCAGGGTGATGCCGAGTGGCATTTGCGTCATCAACTCCAGCCGAACACGAAAAGCAGGCCGTCTCGGGCATTGATGCTGCGCGGCCGTCATATCCGATTGAAGTTCGCGTTGGGGTTCGGCTCCTGAGCGCCTGGCTGAGCACGGCCCATCAATAGCAGGCAGTAGATCACATCGTCCGTTGGCCAGAACCCGCTCCTTCCGAGTTCGGATGGGCCCTTCACCGCCTGAACTTGCTTCTTCACGTCTTGCTTCATTTGTAAGATCTTCTCCTTCTCCACAGTCGCAATGTAGAGCAGTGAATGCTTGCGTGCTGGTAGAAGGTCTGGCAGCGCGATGAGGTCGTCCACATTGTTCCAGGCATGGTAGTTGTCTCCGGCAGGGGATCCAAGGTCTCGAGCACCCTGATACACCACCTCGCCACGAGAACGGTGGTGCGGCCCCTTCACCTCGGGATGTCGCGAGAGGAGGAATCCGCAATTCTTGCGATGTGGGATCGTGGTCTTGTCGCCAGGAACCCCCCAGGTTGTCCGGCGAGATGCGTAGTCCAGCTTCTTCTTCAAGCTCTCGGCTTGCCGCGTACCTGGCAGCGAAGTCGATGTCCAGATTCCGTTTGTGGGCAACATCCAAATACCTCCGATCGATTTGCCCCCCTGGGGTGGCAACCGCATTCGGGCGCCTCGCCCTGGCGCTTCGACGATGGACAGGGACGATGATACTGTCGTCATCGCCGGGAAACAGGACGTAGACACCGACGGTCCCGACGCAGCTCGGTCGGCCGCGGGACGAATGGTTTGTTCTCCTCGGTTGTCTCCCCGGCTATTTCCGTGGCTATCTACTGGGCCGTGTCGTCAGCGAGGTGCGCGTTGACGCGAGGGCGCTGTGCTCCAATCGCAAATATTTTGGTTCCTCTCGCCGTCGGAGCTACACCCTCCGGCGTTTCTGGGAGCGCCTCGGGCTCATCTTGTTTGTCCTCCCCCACGTTGGCCACAGCCTCGGCAACGGGCCCGCCCATCCCACGCAGCCTTCGCAGGGCGTCTCATCCTGCAGCAGGAAGTTGCCGCCGTAGATGTCGTCGCCCGATGCTGCGCCAGGTAATCCACAACGGGATTATCCCTCCTGCGTGATATACTCGTCGTCGCAATCGTTCGATTCCTCGTCCTCGACCTCCGCGGCCTGCTGGGTCTGGCGCATATTCTTCTTCGTGTCCCGTCGGCGCCTTCGATGCTTCTCCCTTATTCTTGAACGGCCTCCTCGGTCGTTGGCCGAGTCTGCTTTGACCAGGGCGTGCGGCCCAGGTTCTTCTTGGTGGCTTATGGACCTCCTGTCGGTGCATCCGCTCCTTCCTCCATGTCCGCCATCATGCTGAAAAGGCTTCTCTTCTCGTTCAAGGCGCGCCGTTTCCTGTGTAGTCGATTCCGCAGCTGCCTCTTGAAGTGGCGGTTCCAAGAAGCACGGGTGTGAACATCGGAAAAGGACTGCGCGAAATGGTTCATTCTGGCACGCTGGATGCGTTGCATTCCCGAACGCATCGCGAGATTGTAGAGGAAGGTCGGAAGCCCCTCAGTGCAATCTGCAGGGTTCGCAGCCTCCGGGTCGAACACCTTCGCGCCTTTGTGCTCCAGCCCCATCGAATTGACGTTGGGCGTGGACGAATCCGTTATCCGCCTCGCCGCGCTGCTTGATCAAGGTCATCTTGGTCTGCCGCAGGTCGAAATACCGCTGCAACTTGATCCGTTGGATTTCAGCTCGAGGCTCCTCCCCCGCTTCCTGCAGCCAAATGATCCTCTGCCGACGGCAAAGTGAACCGCCTTCAGCGCGATGCATCCTGGTGAGCACTTGGGCCAAACGACGAACTTCCAGCTCGAGGTTTTGAGTCGCGGTCATAACTGGTGCTATGGGAGCGCTGCGAGGTGAAAGATATTTTGCGCCGAGTCGGATGGCGCCCGCCCCCTCGGGCCCCCCCCCAGGGCGGCCGAGGCGGTTGACGCACTCCTCGAGGGCATTGTTGCAGTCGCCCACGCGGCGCACTCATCGCCGCCTCGCCTCTGCGGTCGATGATCTCCTTGCTCAAGCCGGCCATCGTCTCATCACTTTTCTTCTCGGCCCCGGATGACAGCGCCCCCTTGCCGGCGCCCCCCCTGGGCACGCAGCTCCCGACGTCGCTATCGCTGCCGTCGCGGACGATGGCGCCTCGGCCTCTGGAGCCCAAGTGGTCCTTGGAGCACGGGTCGCGCATGTCTGTGGCCCTGCGCTGCTCGTCGCTCAGCTCCTCGTCGACCTCCGCAATTCCCGTGCCGCCCGCGCCCATGGGATCTTTGAAATCCGAATCGTGGCGGGCCTCCTCCAGGGCCCTCTGAAGGAAGTCGCGGGCGCCCTCACGCACCTCGCCTGCCTCTCGCTCTTCTTGAAGGCCCTGATAAAAAGAAGTGCAAGGATGACCTGCAGGGGGCGCCGCCTCCGCCGAGCGGCGAGGGGCAGTCCAGGGGGCGTCGGCCGACCCAGCCGCCGAGCCGCCTGACCCGCCGCCCATCTTGTCGTCGTAGTCCTCGCAGTCGCGGAAGAGGTCGCCCGCGGCGTCGCCGTCGAGATTGATTGGCTCAACCTGTTCTCCTCCGGAGACGGGTTGGTCGTCAAATAGATGCACCAGGGGCCCAGGTGCTCGGCCCTCGGGCAGCATGGCCCCGCAGGCAGGGGAGATCCTGACCAGGGGCCCAAATCGCAAGCTGTAAACGGCGGAACATCGCAACGACAAGCTGACGCATCCACTGCGCGAGGAGGGCAGCGCAAACATGTACACATCGAAAGAAATGAGCATGCGACAAGTTGGGTAGTAGGGATGGAACGTTTCGGAGACGCACGGGGAGATCGTGTCCGGCGGAAGAAATGTTCTTCGAAATATGTAGACGTGGGTTTTGTTCCCCGGTAGACTAAAGATATGCTTTTCTTCCTTCCATCGCCTCATGTTTCCCTAGTAATGCGTGCATTCGCCGTCTGCGCCAGCTGTGGCAGGGGTTGCGCGTTCCCCTGCAACTCCGCCAAACAGCCTGTAGGTCCAAGTTCGCGTGGAAGCCGGCGACGCTGACCACCGGGGTTCCCCGAGGAATCCCGAATCATTGCGATCTCCAGGTCAGCTCGCTTCTGGGTCGATGCGAACGGTCCCCGGCTGATGCGCGCAATCGCACAAGGATTTCGCGTCGGTTATGGCGATAATGCCCAGGCCAAAAAATTGCCCCATGATCGTTGTCGCTCGGATTTCTCGGTTCGCAGCGCGTCGATCTCGTTCGCGTCGATGTCATTTTATGATGCAGGGCCGCGAAGTAAACCGCGGACTCTGCCAAACCCTCGGACGCGGCTTTGGCCTCCGCCGCCGGGGCGGGGTCCCCAGCGCGCTCAGTCTTGTAGGAATGCCAAAAAAGAATACTGACATCAACTTCCTTTCCCGCCAAGAGGTCTTTGTCCGCGGAAAAGATCGCGCCGCCTGTCTGAGAGCGACCTTGACTCGCGCCCTTGAGGCCCAGTCCTGAATCGCACAGAAATGCCTGGCGAAGACGAGAAAAAGAAGGCATGGATTCGATGGCGGCGACGGCATCGGCGCCCATGGGGCGCCGCCGCTCAGAAGAGACGCATCCCCCAAGCCGCTGGGCATACCTTCTCGGCATGTCCACGTGAGTTTCCCACGCAGACCGCGCGTGGCCGCGATCTCATTTGGCGCAGCTGGTAGGTCGGGGCTCTTACGGCGCCCCCCCCTGGGGGACTGACAGGTCGAGCTCGTTCTGCGCCATGGAGATGGCGAAGTCGGATTTTTTGCGTCGCCGCAAAGTGCGCCCACCGCGCTCAGCGGCGCCCTCCATGAGCTCAGTCCATTTTCCGAGTTTGAACCGCGTCCGAAGGCGAGAGCGGGCATCGTGAGGTCCATCTCCAAACCGCCCCCATCAAATCATCTGTTTCGATGGCAACGAGACCCGAAAATTGCCCACGGCGTTCGTCAAGAGACTCGCATAAGCATGACGCAGGGTGCCGGAGGATGGCGAGCGAAGCCCTCTTCTTGAAGGCTGTCAGAAGAGTTCTGCGCCAGCCTGGAGGGCCGGCAACGAGTCCATAGACTTCTGCAGCAGTTCAATCGCTAGCAAGTCGCCCGGGTCCTCGCCAGAAATGCCGCCCGCAGGGTGCGAGGCAAAAAGAAGTTCCTCCCGCTGATGTCGGAGTCCTTCAGCGAAGGCCGACTGGGCGTCGCCCACCCAAGCTTTAGCCTTCGTGGACGGTATACACACTTAGGAGCGAGAGTTACGTCTGCTGCTGAAGACGGAGGCACGGTGCGGCTCAACACTGCGGGGTCGGGGTCATGAAACACTTGAACAATCCATCGCGATGTAGCGTCATAATTCTTTGGACCAGCAGGATCACTGAGCTTGCGGTCGTAATCGGCTCTTTTATATGTCCATTTGTCGTGCCATCGAGACGGAATAATTCGTTTAGGAATTTTGCTGTAGATTTCTGTAGATTTCGGCAACAGCCGCGCGTCAGTGAACGCGCGCTGCTTCCTGCCGTCAGGTCCCGCAACACATATTGCAAACCACTCATTCTGACGGCTGCCAATGGGTACAAGAAGCCGCTGCTTAAGATGATCAGGTAACGAATTCATATCAATTTCGTCCTCAGCCCGCTTCTTCTCGATGAAGAACGACCTCGAGGTATTGAAGTAAGCTGTTTATGATTGATGGATTGCGCCGATGTTATCCACATCGGGGGTCCTGTGCGCTCCCAACGAATCATGTGTCATCTGCGTAATAAGTAGCCAGCTCGTCAGCGGAATCCGCAGATTGAGAATCAGGAGGTGCGATTGTAATCAGCGCCAGCGGTGGTAGCTATGACGACGCAGCGGCAGGCCATGGCACATCTGAGCCCCGGGCAGTAGCACTGGAGGCTCCCCCGGGCGCCCCTGCCACAGAAAGCTGTCTCGACCTGGTTCGGCAGAGGAGGCAGTGTCTAAACGAGGTCGAATTTGTCGAGCGCCGCTCTAAAGTGCCGCGCGTGCCAGTCCAGGTTCGTCACACCTGTCCGCCACTGGTAATAATTATGGTTCTTCTCGCGGTGGCGGTTGTGTTTCCTGATCAGCATCGATGTCGGAACCGTCGGGGGTTTCATCGGCCTCTGCCGCTTCAGGGTCGCGTAGAGGCTCGCGACGAAGCCCACGGGTGCGCTCGAGATTAATATTGAGGTCATGAAACAGCGATTGACGATCTCGATGCCTCTACTCTCATCTTGGGTGGCACTACGCATTTGCTCGCTGACCCACGCCACAATGCCCCGCGCATGCTTATCCAAGCCCCACCAGCAGTAGGTAGGATGCTCACAGCAAGTCCAAACCACTTCCCCGAACCGGCTCGCCCTTGTCTCCAAACATACACGAGTTGACCCTTCGTGAAGGTAGGTGGTATACGGTGTCTGGCACGAGGGACTCGGAGTAGTTGAGTTCGTCTGTCTATGGCAGTCCAGGCTTTCACAGCGGCTCGGCGTAGTTCTTCTGATCGGTGGAAATCTCGAACCGGATCGGTAAGCAGGCATTCGGGATCTACTATGGGATCATCGGAGAGCAGTGTCGTTGGTAGACGTTACGTAAAACCGAACACCCGTTGCTGTCCTCCTACAGGCGGTCTCTTAAGAAAAAAGGGATAGTTAAACAATCATCAGAATAATTCAAAAAATCTGACCACCCTGCTGTGTTGCGACTGATTCTGGGTCTTCCTCCTGGAGAAGGACATGCCCGATTTGATCCTGGCGTCTCGGTCTTTTCGAGCCCAACGTTTTCGCCGAACCTCGGTCTGCGCAGAACGCATCCACATTTAAGTCGGGCCTTTGTCTGACCTTTCTTTGGGGTATTTTTTGGTATCTTTTACTTTTCGCCGAAAATTTCCTTGGAGGGGGACACGCCCGACATAGGCCAGGGCGGCCCCCGTGGATTACGTTCGGAGCGGGGCCCCGCCGCCGCTGGAGAGGCCCCCGCCGGCGCGCCACGGGGCCCCCCGCTGGGCATGCGCAGGTGCCCGCCTCTGGAGGGCGATAGGGGCGCCGACACAGACAGCTCTCAGTCGGGCGTGCCCCCTACAGGGGGATCTTCGACGAACACCACCACCACCTACGGAAAATGATACCCTAAAAATGCGCCCAAATCCTCGAACAATACTCAAAAAATAGTCCCTCGACTAGTTACAGGGGGATCTTCGACGAACACCACAACCACCTACGGAAAATGATACCCTAAAAATGCGCCAAAATCCTCGAACAATGCTCAAAAAATAGTCCCTCGACGACAGGGGGATCTTCGACGAGCACCACCCACCGTGCCTCGCCCCCAGGAGGCCGACGCACCCGAGGCTCGCCCCACGGGAGGGGGAGGGGGAGGAGGAGGAGGAGGACCCCGAGGAGGAGGAGGAGGAGGAGGAGGAGGAGGAGGAGGAGGAGGAGGAGGAGGAGGAGGAAGAAGAGGAGGAGGAGGAGGAGGAGGAGGAGGAGGAGGACGAGCAGGGCGAGGAGGACGAGGACGAGGAGGACGAGGAGGAGGATTGAGGCCGACGCACCCGAGGGAGGCCCACCCGAGGGAGGTCCCCAGGAGGCCGACGCACCCGCGGCTCGCCCCAGGTGCGGGGCGGCGGGCGCCGCCCGGCGGCTTGGCCGTGGACGGCCCCGCGATCCTGGCGTTAGGTCGGGCCTGTCCCCCTACAGGGGGATTTTCGACGAAGAACTAAAAAAGAATATCCCAAACATAAGATACAAAAATCCAAAAAAATAATGAGACCGTGTTTTTCCAGCGGAGAAGATCTGCTACTATCTGACAGGGTTACAACACACAGCTGGGACGACGTGAGATCGTTAGAATCACACGTCCAAGGCATTCTGCAAAGCATTGAAGAAAAGGGATGGGAGAACATTGTTCGAAAGGGCGGGTGCCTTTTGACGCTTGAGCCCGAGCGGTTGCGATGAGCAGCGCGGGGGGCCAAGCCTGGACACGACACCCGAAAACCTTTCTCATCATTCCCGTGCACGCACTAACATAATGAGACCGTGTTTTTCCAGCGGAGAAGATCTGCTACTATCTGACAGGGTTACAACACACAGCTGGGACGACGTGAGATCGTTAGAATCACACGTCCAAGGCATTCCAAACATCCCGAATTGAAAAGGGTTCACAGGGGCGAAGGAGGGGAAGAGAGGAGGGGAAAAGCGAAAGCACTTAAGGCCAGAGCCTTAACGGGCCCCAGTACGAACGGGGCCGCCCGAGTTGTACGAGCAGGAGGCGTGCTTTTTAGCAGCGAGAGACTTACCTAGCGCAGTGGCCAGGCGAGAGGGGTAAGGCTGGGCAATAGAGGTCCACAAAACATTCTGGTCATTGCGCCCACTCAGCACGATATGACGGCGGAGAGTGCGAGAGCACATTCCAGCTTTTCCAGTGCACACTTTGTCTAAAGGACAGGTGTCTTCAGGGTCCATATTGCCGCAGACCAGCCATGTTCTTTTTCGCCACGGCGTTCCCCATTGACAGAAATCTGTAAGTCGCCAATCAGCGCGGGCCTGACTACACAGAGCAAGTATCTCTGGGATGAACCACAGGCGGGACGTTGACGGATTTTCAAGTATCCAAGGAATCTTAAAACGATTGAGATGTCTAAGAATGCGAAGTACAGCCCGAATTATTATGTTACCAGTCTCGAGTGAGGCTCGGTCACGATCGGTAGCATTAGTAAGGTCGGTCCCCCACGGTTGGGTGCGTGAACGTATCTGAAAAGTCCTATCCCGAGCGATAGTCAGCGAGGTGCGCGGGAGGGCAATCATGGCGGCGAAGACCCTGCCGTCACGGATGTCCGAGAGCAGCAGCCTGAGCACAGCCGGGTCGGTGATGTCATGGTGGGCACCGTGGATGATGTCCCAGGCTTTGGCGGAGAACCCCAGTTGCATCACCGCTCGAGCAACCTTGCCTGAGCCGGAGAACAGGTCGGCCATGTAGGTGCCATCCTTGGCTAGCCGCGGACGGGCGGTGGCATTGGGGCACGCTCGGGCGACCAGGGGAACTCGACGAGCTGGTCCTCGCACAGGCGCATGTGCGCCTGTATGTCGGCGGGAAGCTCGTTCCAGAAGCTTCCGAGGCGGGCGCTCTTCTCGTAGCGAACGAGGCTCTTCCAACTTTTCCACCTTCCGCGCTTCTGACACTCCTCCTGGCTGCGGTCCGGCTTGAGGCGATCTATCGACGGCCCTGAGTGTCTCATCTGGTAGGGCACAAGGTGCGGCATGCCCAGCATCTTGGCCACAGTCTTGAACTCCGCCAAGAAGGCGAGATAGTCGAAGGACCACAGCCGGCCGCCCTTGTCCTTCAAGGCCTGGAGGAAGTCGTGCACCCATGGCAGCATGTAGGCTGAGTCGATGATCAGCGAGTCGTCCGCATCCCCCGTCTTGCTCCTTTTCTCCCCCTCCGAAGGATGCAGAAGGAGGCTCCAGTACTGCGACACAGGCGAGGCTGGAGCCACCAGGTTGTCCGAGGTAAGGTTGAGGAGCTCCGAGGGCCTGAGGTAGCAGCTGACTCCGATCATCACGGCGAGCCCCATGGCCAGCATGCCCCGCCTTGCGAACTCCACCGCGATGCCACGCCAGACTGGCAGGGGAGCGGGCTTGCGGGAGCGTCCTGGAGTCAGGCGCCTCCATCCCTTCAGGCAACGCCAGGCTCTTGGCATCTTGCTGATACCAACTCTCGAGAACTCGGGCGAGCGGGCCATCACCGCGGCTAGGAGCTTCTCGCCCCTGAACGCCTGCTCGCCCCGGAAGAACATGTGGTTCATGTACTCTACCAGGGCGGCGTCGAGGAGCGCGGACGCGGTGGTGCGCAGCTGCCGCGGGTAGGCAAAGTCCACGAACCCCTGCAGCTCCATGACGTACTGGCGCTGCGTGCGCACCGAGACGGCCATCTCCTCCAGCACCGACGACTGCGGCGGCAGGGTCTCGGCCAGCTGCAGGTACCTGCGCGCGCGCCGATCGGCACGCAAGGTGCGGACCCGCTGCTGCGACGACCTGCCGTCGGCTCCCCTCTCCATCTCGTCGGCCGTAGTAGTGCCATCGCTGTCCCCGTCGGCGGCCGCGGCGGTGGCAGCGGCCGTGACTGCTGCTGTAGCCCACGCGGGCCCCTTGGAAGCCAGCGTCTCCAGAGACCCTTTGGCCGGGGGCACCGGCTGCCCCAGCTTCGAGCGAATCTCCGGTCGCGGGAGCGTACGTGTCCTCGAAGGCCCCGGGGTCGCTGAAGGCGGACAGGAAGTCGCCGTCGGATGCGTACTGGTCGTCGTGCGCCGGCTCTTCTGGCCCGCGATGTTGTGACTCGGCGCCTCCAGGGTGCGGGTCCGCTTCATGGCAGTCGTGGAATACGGTGCAGGCGACGGGGTCGGGGGTGTCGAGCGATCCTGGATCTTGAGCCACGACGTCGTCGGATCGAGGTAGATCCGCAGGCTGAGGCAGGACTTCAGCGGGTCCATGTCCATCAGCCACCAGGCGAGTGAGATCCTTCGTGGAGTCGTAGTTGGGGTCGTAGATACGGGACCCAGCGTCGCTACTATTGAGCTCTGAGGGATGCCACCTGAACCCAAATCGAACCCCTCGGGCCAGAGCGTAGGCCGCGACCCGTCTGATCTGCACCAAGAGCCCGAAGCTGCGGGCCCGAAATCTTTCACAGGCTAATATCACCGACATATTATCTCCCAATAACAATACTCTGCAGAATCCACCTGGAACACAATTACAAACTCCTGCGACAGCTTTGACCAGGACGCGAGCCTCAAGAATCAGGATATCCTCGGAGTAGGCCCACTTGCCATGCAAAATCAAGCGCCACCGATCCCCGTGGAGGAGGGCCCCAGGAATCTCAGGGAAGTCCTTACGCATCTCCCAGGCACCCGCCTCCCGAACGTCCGAGGGGTCACGCTCCTTGTCGTCATCGACCTGCCATCGAGCGGTGGTGGGTGAGTAGACAAACCCCGCGGCAGCGAGGGCACTGGCCCGAGCCGGCAACCCTCCGAGACGACGGAAGCGAGACCGTTCGAGGATCCTGCCTTGCTTTTTCACAGTCGACTCTCCGAACTCGGAGCTGGCAATCCCCCAGCCGTGCGGGCTGGCGTCCACGGACAGTACCTGTGCGAGCCACGGCCGATCCCACTCAGAGCGAAGGAGCGGCATCAGGCCGAGGAAACACTCGAGCTCCTGCCGTGCGGAGTCCCACACGTCGCTCTTGGCCCAGTACCGCTCGCGGATGAAGGTGTAGACGGTGTGCCACGCGGACAAGGTTTCCCGGCACATCAGGCCGACGAATGTACAGTGGCCAAGCAAAATTTCGAGCTCTCGCCCCGCCAAGCGTCGCAGGGAGAGGGCCCAACGGAGGGCCAGTCTGACCTTCCAGTAGCGCCGGTGGTTGACGAGGGTCTGGTGCTTCTGGCCATCGAGCGTCACTCCCAGCGCCTCGGCGGTGTCGGAGTCCACGGAGATGTCATGCATGATGAGGCCCGCGGCGTCGAAGGCCGCGATGGCATCCGCCAGAGCCCCCTTGACGTAGGAGGCGTCGAGCGACAGGAGCCCCACATTGTCGACGTAGACGTAGTGCCAGGAGGAGGTCGGGGTCAGCACGATAGGGGGCCCCCGATCGGTAGCCACACGGCTCGACGCGACCGCGGGGACCCGCTCCACCAGGCCGAGGTTGGCCACCTGGGCGAAGTAGAGCGACCACGTCCAGCCCATGGGCAGCGCGAGGGCGCAAGGCCAGAGGTAGTCATCGGCGCGCACAGACACCCCCTCCACCACCTGCCCGACGATGCCGAACTCCTTGGCCAGGCCGCCTGGGTAGCAGAAATACTTGGAGAGGTGGTTGCCAAACATCATGCGGTGAAAACAGTCCTTCACGTCAGCTTTGCCCAGGAAGATGGGTAACGTGCCGGTCTGCTCCGAGTCGCACTCAATACGGCCCAGCCCCTCTGTAGACAGCAGCTCCACCCCAGGAGGGGTCACGAAACGTTGATTAGAGCGACGGCAGTCGAGCACCATCCTCATGGAGGCCCGCTTCTTTTTCCACACGAAGAAAACACCTACGAACTCCTTGGGATCGCGGGTGAAGCCCACCAAGCCTTTCCGCTTCAGGTCCTTCACGAAGGTGGAGTATCGGCGGCGGCTATTGGCGAGCAAGGGGTCGGTGTAGGTCTTGATTTCACCATTCGTCTCACGGTCAAGCTGGACCTCAGCATCAGTCCTGATCATCTGCTCCTCTGCCTCTACCAGATACTCGAGGGCGCGCCCCGTGACCAGGGTTCCCACAGCCGGGGCCGTCGAGACGTCACAGGGAAGAGATACCGCGCCCCGTTGGTAGGGTGCCAGGGTAGTGTAGGCCGTCTCGGTGTCGTAGACCCCGCGGCCTCGAAGTAGCCTGAAAGGCCTCCTTCGGAGAGAGGTCGGAGGGTGGATCCATGTAGATCTGGACCCCCTGGGCGATTCGCGCCAGCACCTCCTGTTGAAGTCGAAAACGGCATGGATGGACGTCACCTTGAGCACGACGGGCGGCCTCACGATGTCCAGCGCCCCACAACCAATTAAGCGAACGCACACACTGCCGCCAGTCCCTCACGAACCGACGTTGGGCACGTCCCTGAAGGTGGATCCAGAGGTCCGCGACGAGGCTGGGGTCGTCGGGCAACGGGAAGATCTCAGCGGAACCACGTGCAAGCCCGGGAAGGCGAACGGCGGAGGTTGGGCCAGTCCCGCCGCCGAGGGTCATATCACTCATTGGTTCTCCGCCGCGGCAGCGGAGCCTTTGCCTCCCTTCGGGGCGCCACGGCCCGGTCCTTTGGAAGGCTGGCCCGCCGCGGCGGCGACAGGTGCTCCGCGTCCAGCGGAGGGAAGACCGCCAGCCGCGACGGCGTCGGCAGCAATCGGAAGGTTGCGGGCTCGAACCCGCATGGACTCGACCTCGGCCTCGTCCTTGGCCCTCTTTGCCACGTAGTGCTTCAGCTCGGGCGCGACCATGTCCACGGCGGAACCCACCCCGGAGTAGAGCCTCGCGTTGGCCCACTGCGGTCGGGAGGGGTCGCCCGAGTAAGCGTCCACGATACTCTGGATGCGGCGTGCTATGATCTCGAAGCTGACCAGCGACGGCATGTTGAGCTGGTCGTAGGTGCCTCCCGCGTAGATGACCTCGCAGAGGACGGAGAGCTCGTGCATGACACGCTCGCCAGGCCCCAGGTTCTTCGAGCGGGACCAGAGGTCGAGCCACATCCTGATGTTGCCGCCGTGCCGATCAGAATGCCTGAGGATATACATCACGCTAGACGGCCCCTCCACGGGGCTGTCGGTCCACACCGTGGGGTAGCTTTCCATGACCACGTTACGCCACGACTTGAATCGAACGTTCATGGCGTCAGTGTCCACCCACAGGGTGCGAACATCACCCGGCTCGGCGGCGTCCACGGGGGCGGTCGGCTTGGCTGCCTCGCCGTGGGAGGGCGAGTGGCTCGGCACGATCCCGACACGCCGCCCGAAGTCCGTGGGCGTGCCGTCGGCGTCGCGGATCGCCACCTCGTAGGCCGAGGTCTTCATGGACGCGTAGTCGCCCACCTCCGCCTCGGGGACGCTCTGGACCGGCACCGTCACGCCGTTGATGTCGGCGACGCCGCGGTCCCCCAGCCTGATCATGACGGATGCGTGTGGCACAGGGGTGCCCAGCTCCCAGACCAGACCGGGCTCGCTCACGAGCCAGCGATGTCGCTCACCGTCGGCGGCCAGCGCGTCGCCACCCGCCTCCTCAGCGCCGCCGTGGGACTCGGCAGCCGCAGCGCCCGCATCGGCGACAGGTGGGTTGCCCTCCTTACCGCCGCGCCTCACCTGCTTGCCCTGGAGGCGGTGGCGAAGGAGCGGGTGCTGGCGGCCATCCTCCGACAAGAAGTAGGTCGGGTCCGACGGCACGCCGCGGTCGGGCTCGGACTCCCGCAGGGACGCCACCTCGGCGCGGGCCTCGGCGATGAGCCCACGTAGCTCGTCGTCCGTCGGGAACCTCGCAAACTGCACGACCTTGGCCCCGTCGTCTGGCAGAGACCTCGGCGGCTGACCCGCCGTCATGAGGTACACCTTGTCCCAGTCCTTCTCTTCCTCCACGTACAGGTCGCCGCCGCCCGTGTACACGATCCACGATCCCTCATGACACGGCCACACGATGACGCGCTCGTGCCTGAACCCAGGATCAGTGACGAACGACACGAGCAGCTGCGTCCCCGGCACCCAGTCTTGCTCCATTGAGGATCACACGGCGGTGCGTCGAGTCGGGCCGTGCAGCACGGCGACAGCAGTACAGCACGAAGATGACCTCGAGAATCCCAAACCCCAGGCAGCCGGCGAGGGCGAGGTCGGGTGACACCGCAAGGCCTCCCAGCCACGGCCACACCACCTCGATCGCCGCGGCTCCGTCAGGCGCGAGCCGCACTGAGGCCCCCGACGGGGGCGGAGCAGGCGGCTCGGGCGCCGCCGACGACGGGCAGGTGCAGGAGCAGGAGCAGTCCCACGGCGGGGGCTCCCAGCACCAGTCGACGGCCGCCGCGCGGCCTGGGCCTGCCGGCGCGGAGCGGCCAGCAGCAGACCCGGCCAGCCAGCCGGAGAGCGAGGGGGCTATCACGGCGACCCAGGCGAAGAGTGCTACCTGGGAAGGCGTGAGGGCCATCGAGCGACAAACCCGTGCCTTTTGACGCTTGAGCCCGAGCGGTTGCGATGAGCAACGCGGGGGGCCAAGCCTGGACACGACACCCGAAAACCTTTCTCATCATTCCCGTGCACGCACTAACATACTCTGGGGAGTATTGTTTGAGCATTCGTTTCTGTTTTATGTCGTCGAAAATCCCCCTTGTCGGGGGACACGCCCGACTTCATCCTAGCGCTTCGGCCTTTTCGAGCCGGGCGCTTTCGGGGGCGACCAAGAGGGGGGGTCACAAAGCATGGCCCGGGCATGCGCGCGGACGACGAGGGGTCAAGGGGCGTGCCGAGAGGAGTCGCGGGGCCATGAGGTCCGGGGAGGCATGCCCCGACCACGGAATCCAGCCCCTCTAGGCATCACCCCCCTCTTGTGGCCGCCCCAGACGTTTTCCCCGAACTTCGGGCCCCAGGACCCTCGCATACGCAGAAGCCATCTGTACACCACCACCGCGCCTGGCCAGGGCCATCCTGGGCCATGGCCTGGTGTACACGCCCCCTGACCGAGGCCAGGGAGGTCTATCGTGCTGGGGCCCAGGATGACGCTGGTCAGGCACGGCGCTGGTGCCTGGATGCCTTCTGCGGATCACAGGTCACTCTGGCTCGAAAAATGTCGCAGACAGCTGGGGTCCGGGGCTCCGGCCGCGATCTTTCACGGTGCTGCAGTCACCTTCGCGACGTCGGACCTCAGGGGAAGCCCGCCTGCGCGCACCTCCGCGCCGGCGGCGCGGAGGGGGAGGAGCTCGGACCTCTCGCGCGGTCCAGGGCGGAGGACGGCGCGGGCGGCGGGCAGCGCATTCGCGCGGAGCTCGCCATCGCTCGGAGGTCCATTCCCTGGGCATTTTTCGGTTTCGTGCGCGTTTTTTTCTCCCAAGGTGAGCAAGGTGCTCCTCGATGCTCGATGGTCCTCGCCGAGA